ATAATACAGGACTATAAAACGAGGATTATTTTACAATAAATAGATCATTACAGACTCCTGATAATGTAAAGACAAGACACTGAGTATCTACAGAGGAATATGTTTGTCTCTTAGCAAGTCAATGCAAATGACTTCACTTTGAATGTAGGGTTTACAACATACAGCAGATTTCTCCCAGATCAGTCTACACTTTCAGATTGTTTCAAAATATTTTAGTGCCATTTCTCATCAGTTCCATTTGCAGATGGAAGACATTGCAGGAGCAGACTTTTGACAAAAATGAAACAAAAGATGCAGAGAGCTAAAATTAGCCAGGCCAATTGTACATTGCGGTCGCAAATGTGCTTTTTGGAAGAAAATTGAAAAACTGGAGCAGAGCAAATAGAGCTCAATAGGAAAATTGGCCTGCATATGTCACAATGGTGTGCGTGTAGGTGTTTGCATGTGTGTAGTGGTGGATATGTGCACGTGTGTGTGTGTGACTTATCAGACGGAGATAATGAATCACCAGTCGTTTCCATCCAAGAGGCTGTGTAGATTGTAATGGTGAGGGGACGTCGGTGAAGATGACGAGCCCTTGGTTCGCAGGAGAGAGTGATGGGTAAGCCAGCATGCTGTCTTGGCTGACATCCGTGACGAAGGCAGTGTTCACAAGCAGGGCTGAAATGTCAGCCTCAGAATCAACAGGGTCTTGTCTGCGACCGAGTTTCTCATGGTGACTCCTACCGCACATCACTGGGAACTTACTCGAGCTCGTGCACAACCGCAGCTACAAACCCTAAACACGCTGCTTGTCGGCTGTTTGAAATCCTTGAAATTTCTGCTTGACTCTTAATTCTTTTTCCATATTCGTGGTGAAAGAATGCAAAGCTCTTCCCTGCACCCATCCATAAGAAGTAGGGTGTTCCCTGACGTTTGTGGACACAGAATCAAACCTTTCTAACAACCAATTCTACAAAATGCTCTTGTGGGAGGAATATTCCTACCTGGGAAAATGATGTCCGAGACTGTTTTGCTTTTCCTCTGTGTGCTTTAAGGTAGCTATGTTTTTCCTATAGGGATACATAACTGTACCTGCATTCATCTGCATACTGGCCTTTGGCTCTGTGCATGTTTCTCATGTTCTGGTGAATGCTAATGTGCTTAGCCTATTAAAGAATGGTATATTTCTTGTGTGAAAGAGACAGACAAGACAGGCAAAAGTGCCAAGAAAAGAGAAAATAAGTGGTTCCCAGTCCTGGTCCTGGTGACCCATGCACCTGCTGATTTTCATTCCCTCCCATCCTAATGAGATAATTAAAGCCCTGATTGATGTAAGAAGTAGCTTTATTGGAATATTTGGATTTTGCTTCTAGTGGCAAGTTTGGTATTTTATTTCACTGACACAGTGCAGCAATTAAATCATCAACATGTTTAAGAGCCAGGGACAAACAGTTCAGATTAATTCAGTTCAATTCAGTGGTATTTGCATAGCGCTTTTTACAGTGGACATTGTCACAAAGCAGCTTTATAGATTTCTGGGACTGAACCCTCAGAAGAAAGGAATAACTCCCTCAGACTAAAGTAGGAAGAAACCTTGAGAAGAATCTAGGCTCAAAAGGGGGATCCTGTCCTCCTCTGGCCTGCACCGGGTTCATTAAAACGTACAGCTATGAAAGTCGTCTACTTCATATTACATGGTGGGGGAAAGCAGACTAGTATTTTGGGCTCGGTCATGTAGGGTGAAGTCCAACGGCGTCCAGAATGTTCAGTTCGTTTCCTTCGGTTGTGATTTTCACTGGAAAGTTGAGTTTGGGGGTGGGGTCAGTCCGGTGGCCTTGTGGAGTCGAGTCTGGCAGGTGCTCACATGAGCAGGCCTGAATCAGAATCTTCTTCTTCTTCTTCTTAGGTCAAGGAAGTTTTAGATTGTATAACTGAGGGCTCGGCTGGAACAACAACCAACAGGGGTGTGGGTCACCAGGATTGGGAACCACCATTCTACTGGATGGTGTGGCAATAAAAAGCTGATAATGCGAAATGCCCCTCGCTCTTGCGATTCCTCTGGGGTGTTGTTGTGAACAAGGATCAGACCAGACATTTGTTTCAGAGGACAAATGTTACATCAAATGCTGCAATCAATGCAAAACTGCCAAATGGGCTAAGGCACATCCCCTAAGCTGTTGTTCAGGTATTTCTTTTTGGTTCTCCAATCCCCATTTTCATGTAGACAACACAAAATTCATTGTCAGAGTGAAAATATACTCTGATTAATCTATTAAACCGTTAAAATGTGTTTGCAGTTCTGAAATAATTAGTTTGGAAATCAAATTAGAATGCTGCTTAAAAATGAAATTGCAGCGCTATGTTGCACTTCTATAACACTTGTATTCCCTTTTGTTTGAGAGATCTGTCATATTTAAGGCCTTGCAGGTCTGTAATTATGGATAATTTCAAATATTCTTCTTTTACAGGTTGCCCATCTCTTGTGTGAATCTCTAATACACTGGTTTTTACAGTAACTTGAGGATTAGTTGTCTGCTCACAGCATAATTAATAATCCCATGAGTGTGGACATATATTACTTTGAAAGTATGCTCAGCAACTGGCAGCAACCCTGAAATAATTTGGTGTTAGTGCCTGAATGGTGTACACATGTAAAGCATAAGACGCATTTGGGGTGACTATTAAAGATTACTCAAGGAGGCCCATTTGCAGATACTTTTCCTATTAAAATTAATGTGATACAAAGTGTAGATGAATCTGATAGCTTTCAGAACCTGTGTGGGTGTGTGGGAGATGGCAGTATTTGTGACCTCATTGCAACAACACTCCCACTCTTGTGCACTGTTCTATGGGAACTGGGTCTCAGCCCGCCCTGGCTCTTCTAGCGCAATGCTCTGGTCGCCTGCCATGTGTCACAACCAGTGCATAGTGTGTTTCGAACATCATTTATGGATCCTGCAAAGATCCAAAGCTTTGAAGGGTAAAAGCAGGGTAAAGCACCTGCTGTACTGACCTCCGAATGTTTACTGTGGTCAGTTTGCACATACATGGTTCATTTGTGTGTGTGTGCATAGGACATGTTACCCAGCCATGTTGTTGAGGTTTATACCATAGTTTCTTTCAAGAAAGAGCAGGATGAGATACTTCAATCAGGAAAAGGGGGGGGGGGGGGGGAATAATTCTTTACACAAAGAGTAGTGGGAGAATGGAACAAGCTACCATGCTTTTCAACCTGATGCTCTAGTGTCTTTCAAAAAAGAGCTAGACGAGATTGATCCTTAGATCAATTAGCTGCTATATATAGCTACTATGAATAGTTTAGGTGTCCAAAGACTGAAAACTGTAAACTGTTGTGTCTGGGTTTCTTGAACACCTCTTATAAAAATAACTGTTTTATCATTCTTATTATTAAAGCAATACAATAAATCAATACTTCTTCTTAAGTAGCAATCCTTTAGGTTACACAAAAGTAGCAGGACACACTGAGGACTGTGCAGGACTTTGGGAGAGCCCACGTGTTTTCCTCATATAAAGCTGTATGTTTGTGTGTGGTGGAGTATATTCCCCTTGACAAAGACAAATGCAGCCAAGACTTTATCAGACAAAATAATAATTACTATTTTATGATTTCAAAGTGCTGAACAGAAAATCCAGTGAACCAAAGGAAAGGAAAAATTAAAACAAACTAAAGAGACATTTAAAACCAATCTTTTTTTTCCCCAAAAAACAATGCACAACTCGTACCACAACGTTTGAAAAAAGCTATCAGATAAAAACACTTCAAAATATTAGTTTGTATTTTTTTTTTTAAAACCACGGCCATATTTTTTTTTACTTTCAGTCAGTGTGGGAACAAGCCCTGCAATAGCTCTGAGAAAAAAACAGAGCTGATCAGAGCTGGCAGTATTTGCAATAAATACAGGCAAAGCCAATACAATATACCATGCATATAATCTTTTTTTTGTACAAATAAAGACATTATGCAACAAATTATCTCATATTAATAAATGGCATCAACAGTATAAACATACAAAAAAAGTACAAACGCGGAATGTATCATCTCAGCCTTCTGCATCTTTTCTAACTCTCTCTTATCCTGCACCTCCCTTAAGAGCCTTGCTGTTTTCTGCAAAAGAGACCCTTGTACAAGCCCTATTTAGAAGAAGATCCATTCTAGTGAAGCACCTCATCAGTCGGCCTTCTCTGATCCTGAATTAGCCACCACCTCTCCTCTGATGTCTTCAATAAAAGTACTAAGTGCTCAAGCCTCATTCTCTTGGCGTTCCCACACTCCTCCCAGTTCCTTTGTCCTATTTCACTACAGCATTTCAAGTTTGTGGAACTTCGTCGACAAAAGTTAGTGCGAATGGTTTGCTATTCCCGCTATCATCTTTTCAATCTTAAATTCGGCTTGCGCCTCACGTCTTAGTATTAAAATAAATTAGAGTTCGAAAAAGAAATGAGGCCTTTCTATTTATATATATATTTTTAAGATAGCACTTGAAAAATTGCACTTTGAGTACTGGAGCTGAGAGCCATTGTCGGTTTGCTTTGTGTGTTGTGAATGTGTTCCATTAATTTAATGCATTATGTAAGAAAAAATAAAGGTGTCCTACTCCACTCTGATCTGAAACTTACTGTCAACCCTCAGATGCACCCTTCAGACAGGATATACACCAAAAGCGTCTGTCAAAAAAACAGCATTTGTATTTTCATACAGTTTTACGTTTTATTAAAATAATGAAATGTCTACTGTTTTTATTTTTATTTGCCCAAAATAGAAAACGTATTTCGGGACGTTCTGTTACTTACAACTGTATAACAGATGTAGTCCTAACAGTGCTGGCCCACGGCTCGGGTCCGAGACATTTCTGGAGATCACTACAGACGAACCACAGTCAGAACGTTAACGCTGCCGCCCGCGAAAGGACCGCTTCACCCAAGAAAAGTGCCTTTTTTTTTGTTAGCAATTTTTTTTTCCCCTTCCCAAAACACAGAGAAAGGAAATACAAAAGCAGCAAAGCAGGTCATTTTTTTTGCCTTTGTTTGTTTTGTTTTTTTAACCCAAAGTTCTGCAAGAAAAACTGAAACAGTCCAGGAACAGTGAGTTTCTCAGCAATGGAGATCAAGAGAGTCCTGGGCACTCCTTCCTTCTTTCCTCCGGTTCCTCGTTAGTAGCGTCTGTGGGCCTGCGCAGGCCGCTGGGGGCTCTCGACGCTGGCCGGCCGCCTCCGGTTAGTTGTACTGCCAGGTGACGGGCTAGGGGCTGGGGTGTAGGGCGGCCCCCTCAGTAGGGCAGGGTGTCTAGGAACTTGTCGATGACGGGGGGTGGGGGCACAAGGTCCTCCAGCTTCAGGTAGAAAATGCGCTGGAGCCCCTGGGTGCGCTGGGACCTCAGCTCTGCCCTTGTGTTCAGCACCCTGGTCAGCAACGCTGGCCCTTTGCTCACCCCTGTGCCCCCGGTGCCACCCCCCGCCCCAAAACTGAGGTGGTCTCTCAGGCAGCAGATGATCTTGTTCTGCATCTCCTCCACTTTCTTTGGTTCCTTTAACCCGTGGCACTGCTCTGTAACGGGGCAAGAGGAAAGAGAGTGCGCGCATGAGACACCAGCTTAGTATTGGCGCCTGGACTTCACGAAGGATCCAGATTGGTCCTAGACTCGTTCCCCACTACAGTAAAACCCTGGGAGTCCACAACAAGCTTTTACAGCCTGCCACCTGCTCATCACAACCCTGCTCTGTCAAAGTCCTCTTTCTGCAGAGAAGAAAGCAGCTGATTCAGTTCAGCCCACCACTGCAAATAAGATGACCATACAGTATATTGATTTATGTGCATAAGTAAGGCAATTTTATTGTAAAGGAGATTTTGCTATTTACTTGTGCATTAGTTTCATATTCCATGCATGGAACAGTTCATTAAAATAAAGCCCATCGTCTCCTCATGATCAACAACTTGGCATTTTTCCCCATTTTCTAACAATGTTCCCCCCTGGCGCTTTCAGGGGAAAATAGGGAAATAAATTACTTTGCCGCCTTCCACCTGGCCTTCATTCAGTATTGAAATAAATCCCGACACACTCCAAGTTTAATCACTGACTCGCAGCACATCATGTCACTGGACTGAAGGAGCCTCCTTACCTCGCCAGGAAAAATTCCATTTGGCACTCAAAGGGAAACCAAACCGCTCCGAACTATCCAGCAAAACACTCTACCTTCCTCCTACCTGTCTCAGCAGTGTGTGAGTTCATGCCTTGTGATAGACGCCCTGCTTTGCACTAATTTGTTGCTGTTTTTTGGGGGCATTTTTAAGAAAAACAGAAATGATTAACCATTACTTTAGTTCAGTGCCACAAGGTATCTCGGATACACTGCAGATGGAACTCAAGCAGTGGAAGGAAGGAGCAGGAAGGAGACATATAGAGGGGCCTTTTTTTAATGCAGTGAGACCACTTTAACAGAGCTCACACGATGCTGATACCACATGCTCAGGGAGGTTAATACAAACACAAGTACTGAGCGCTTGACAATTAGTGAGATTATATACCACTCAGAACAGTGAAACGTGATTATGCAGTTTACAAATTAAATTTACCATGGCAACACAAGAGTCAGATAGAAGCAGTCACACTAGGCCATGAGCTCGTTAGTATGCTACTAATTTGTTCTGTGAAGGTTACAGTGAGGATAGGGAGGGGTACGTGGTGAGGGTCTTTCTTTCAGAAGGGTTTAAAGTGTTTCAGCTGAAGAATTTCGCGAGTGAATGTCTGACGGAGATGTTTTTGTGTTGTTTGAATCACGAAATACAAACCAGGTCAAGCTGCCACTGCAAGGACGCCGCTGTTCTGGGCGGAAACGATCAAAGCGCACCTCTGAGGGCCTTGGCACGTGCGTGCCTGACCTCCAGGGCACCGAAACTGGGAGGCATGCCAACTTGCGCCCAGGCACCCCCTCATTTTAAAGGCTGGGTGGATCGATCGGCGCTCGGTGGCAGGAGACTGCTCCACGGCGCCAGCGCGCTCCCTGCCTGTTCTGCCGGAAAGGGGAAGCCGTCCCCCAGTTCTCTCAGTTTTCCGAGCCGCTGCTCTTTGCTCGATAGCCATGGCAAATATTATTAATTCAGCGAACCCGGTGTGGATCGATATCCCTCACCTGCAGCTCTCCCTCCCCTCCCCCAGCAACGCCGCTGGGATTGTACCTCGCCGAGGGCTGCAGAGGGGAGGAGGGCGGCCACCTTCCACGCAGCTGAAACGGCTCTTTGGGATCTCCGTTCCCCCTAGTGTTTTTGTTCGTGTGTGCGCCACTAATAAATAGTGATGTATATATAAAATAAAAGGCAGACAACACCGGCATGTCCGGCCCCTCAAGTGCTGATACTATAGAACACAGGCGTGCTGTGTCTTTGTCAGCACAGGCTCTTCGCCTCCCCAGGATCTAATCAATTTCCTCTCCCTGTTCGACACTTTTAGCCCAGTCGATACGCCCGGCCGACGGCGAGATACAGGGGGAGGGGGTATCAGTGCCGGCACAGCACGGCGACCCATTTGTGAAGTGTGCTTCCCCCGGTCAATTCTGAGGATCAGCAAAGTGCTGCAAGGAGGAGGAGGTGGGGGGGGGGAGAGGTGAACTGACTTTTGTGTTAGTTTGAACAACACTTGAGTGCTCTCCCTCTAACTTCCATCTCAGCGCCCCTGAATCCACTTTAGTGCAGAGAAAATATATCGAACAAAACTGAAAATCTGTCCGTCTAGAGATGGACCGCGGTGAAGTTTAGAGTCTCGGGTCTCGAAAATTATAGCCAAGTCCAGGAAATCAAGACCATGAACCACAGGCAGAATGTTTGGTTAAGTGGTAGGTGGCTGTGAACGGTGGGGACAAGATAAGATGCTAACTGAAAGTAAAACGGTTATGAAAGTAACACATTTAGTCACTATCAGCCATTCCTGAATTGAGGCCCCTACATGTGGCACCACCCAGGCCCACCACTATATTTTTGTATCTTCCATAATTACTCTAGAATATAATGTTATTGCCCTCGTGCCGTGGAGAACCTAAAAAAAACTGTTGCATGACAAAAATACAGAGGTTTGGATAAAACATGGAGAAAATGACACACCACAGTGATCCAGAAACTCCACTGCTGGTCTGTCAGACAACAGGACATTTGCAGGAAATGCATTTCTTGGTAGAGAAAGAGAAAGATCTGAATCGACTGTGTTTTGATGCACTCATGAAAGGATCTGGCCAGTTTTTATCTGGAGCGAAGAGGCTGAGTGTCTGAATGAGGCCGGTGCCTCGATTTGTTTAGATAGAAAACATATTGGAATAATACAGCACAGCCCACGTTTTGACAAACATTCTATCTAAACTGCTTTTCTTAAAATGAAAACGTGAAATATCACGAGACCTATGGAATTCAATTCAGAACTAAATTCCCCACCTCCAGAAGAAATGTGCTTTACTAAATCCCCTTCAAATGCTGCACCTGTAAATAATTATTGACTTTTAAGGATATGACCAAATTTAAAATTCTACTCTTCATTCTCTTTTTTAAATCTGTATTTTTGGCACACCATTTGTTTGGATATGTTTTGGTTCTTGAGAAAAAAATCGAAATGTGTGTATATTTTCCCCCTGGAACACATCTCTGTGACATCTCAACTCAGCAGATGTTTGTCTGTAACATGTCAAGAGCTGACATGTTACATACTTCACATACTAAAAACAATCTCTCTTTGGTGATCCTGTACTTGTGTTTCTTGCTCCCCTTGTTGCCAGTTCTCAGTATACACGGACATGAAAAAGGATGAAGTACAGTGCTTGCTTAGTGACAGCGCTAAATCCCAGTTTTTACAGAGTTTAAACAGAGCTGCAGAGCAGGTGGTGCCGCCTGCACCTGCAGAAGGTCTCGGCTGCACCGGGGCAGCTGGGGAGAGATGGGGGCTCAAGGAGAATCATGGGAGGGTACGGCAGGAGACCAGCTGGCCTGCGCTTCATGCCAGAGCAGAGTTGGGCTGCAAGGGCACTAGGCAGTTGCCAGAGCCCCCATCCCTCTCTGTCTCCTCTGGAGGAGCATGGCGGTCCTCTGCCTAATCCTAATCGTTTTCGATCCTAATCTTCGCTCACTCATTCATTATTTGTCATGGACGCCTTCCTTTGTGCAGTTCATTTTAGAGTAATTCCCAGCAATCAGTTCTGGTTACACTGTAACCAAGGCTAAGGAGAACAAATGGATGTTTATCCTTTGTTTTGATTTTCTCACAAAGTGATGACTTTCTGAGCTTTGATAGCTTCGGATAGGGAAAAAGGTTTTGAAGTTTTTGCCTTCGGAACTGAAATTTTGAGGCTGCAACAGCATGAGCGGTCGTAAACAAAAGTGCCTTTCCCGGAGAAGTCTAATAAAACACCCCTGAAGATACCTTGCTTGCATTAGAAACTCCCATGTCTATTAATTCAAGTCCTGTTTCTACTGCCTGCTAATCGCCATGCCCCCTGTACTGGGCACAGAAGAGAGAGACAGTAAGGTTACATGGTTAGCACATCACACATGGTTTGGGGTAACAAGGTGGGGAGACCAGCTCTCTTCATCATGGGGTTGAAACTCTAAGGGGACAGTATATACTAGCAAATCCACCATGCATGTCTTTAGGAAGTGGGGGAAACCCATAGAAAGACCTTGAGAAAATGGAGAGAACATGCAAGTTCCACCCACATAGGTCTGAATCAAACCCAGGTCACTGGAGCAGCAGTGCAGCAGTGCTTGACCATCATGCCACTGTGGTGCCCATTGATTCACGAGTGCCTGCTCATTGGATCAGCGCTTCCACCAGTCAGAAAAAATCCCTTTCATTGCCTCAACTCCCATACATGTAGGCCGTGTTCCAGCAGCTGTGCAGAGCTGGCTCTCCCTGCGTTGTGCTGATAACGACTGCAGTGTGGCGCCCACTGGGAGAGGCCGTGTGATGTGCTCTGGGTCCCGCTGCCCAGTCAGTCAGCTATCATTATAGGGCGGCTGCCATGACTGCCCCCCCTGCCCCTCTCCATCCGCAACCCCCCAGCCACCCTGAGCTCCGGCTGGCTCGCTCTCAGCCCTCAGCCTGATGAATATTCATCCGCCCGCCCGGTGAAACAGCCCTCCAAGATGTAATTATCCACACATAACGAGACGGGGAGATTGCAACAGACACCTCGGACGAGGCAGTAAAAGCCCCATCGGTAGGAAGTGTTTAACTTCGCCCAGATCTCCGCAAGATCGGGGGGTGAATATGAAAAAGGTTACGACTCAGAGTAGGCCATTTGTCCCCTCGCATTAATTATTTAGGAATAATTAGCAGACAGATCCAAGAACGTCCTCAAGACATTTTGTCACAGATGCCAGAAATACCGACTTCCACAACAGGGCTTGCCTTCCAGTCGCCAATTTCCTCTTAAATAAATAACTTGTTCTCAAGTTCCTCTGCTCTGTGTTTGTGTTGGGTTTCTGCGATGTTAACTACTTAGCAGCGGCGATACAAAGGCAATACAGACCATTTAGACCATCAGACACCTGCCACTGTGTTATACTGAACTCATTTGCTACATGTGTGCACGACCCACACAATTGAATAACCTAAGCAGTCGCCCCTTGATGAGGTATTAAGGCTCCAAAAACATGATCATAGTCTTTCTCTCCGCAGTATGTTTTATACTGTATGTATTTTTCTTCCTGTTCACATATAACATTTGGAAAAGGGAATATAACCTGTGTGATGCATTATTTATTTGTTGGTCCAGTGTATTCTTTTTTGTGAAGGGAAAGGCAAATAACATAGTGCAGCCGGATGCTTTGTGGCCCAGAGGGAAGACTGTAGGTGGCCAGTCAGGTGCAGGATAGTTAACGTCACTCACCTCTTAACAAGACTAGTGCTGCCAGACAGGCAAAGGCAGAGATGTCCAGGTTAAGGCTCTGCAGGTCTGAAGAAAAGGCTTTGATGGAGTCCAGCCACTCCCCAAACCCACGAAGGCACTGGAATCGGTGCAGCACCAGCCCATTGCAGAAAATAAACTTGTCTTCTGAGAGGTTTGACCTGCAGGGAGAGGCAGAGAGAAACAGGTGATCATCCCGGTTTAATATCTCCCAAGTATCTCCCAATATACCGTACACCAGCTAGCACTGTGGGGTTGAAGTTATTTAGATCAGGAGAGTACGCAAATGGACATCAGTGGTCCAGGGTTTCCTGAGCACTTTAATGTAACGTTTCACCCATTGAAAAGATAGCCTACTCAATCGCTGCTTGACAAATATGAGTTAATTGCTACTGTTAAAAATAATGTTTATTGTAGTACATCAACCCAGCGGACTTGTTCAGAATGAACAGTCCAGAAACACAAACCAAAGGAAAGTGTGTCAAAGTGCATTTAAACCAAGAACAGGAGGCACTCCTTTACATAAAGGGTTGTGGGAGTGTGGAACAAGCTAACCTGCCATGTTGTTGAAGACGATATTATGGCTTCTTTCAGGAAACAACTGATTGAGATCCTTTTAGTTACTAACTACTAAATAGACCAATTGCTCCAAAGGCCTCCTCTTTTTTGTAACCTTTCTTAATGAGAATCTGTTGGTTAAACACCAGCTGTCACAGAATGTGCTGCACTCGCTCATCTTTACAGTAAATGGAGTAAAGGACCACTTCATTTCAGACCGTTTCCGTGTATTTTGGTCATACAAAACGTTAACTAATTTCTGCCTCTTCATTGGAAACACAAGGCTGACTCTTGAGTGAGAAAAAGTCAGGTACAAAGAGAGTCCTGTGGAGATACTATGTGAGCCACATGCTCCCAATACATACAGTAGGCTCACTGGTCCTACTGTTAATACTGCACTGAAACATCAAGCAAGGAAACAATTAGAATAACAACAAATTAGAAACACTGGCAAAGAAGCTTACTTCAAAGATACAAATGTAAGTAATTAACTTGTGTTTTCCAAATTAAACCATTTTAAAACATTCCTGAAATTACTTGAAAAGGCAGCGGCAGGTCATGTTTATTCTAAGACGAGAAAGCAGAATATAAGTCTGGAGACATTATGTTTGACATCCTGATACATATGGACCCTAAGACTCTTAATCTGTTTTCATAGTTTCTTTTTATATGTGCAGCATTTTGTAAATGCTCTTCATTCTTTTTGTACACACACTGCGTAAAAGTGCTGTGATTTTGCAATTCAAGTAATTCAGTATTTTAGCAATGCCCAAACAGTTAAAGTTTTGAATTTCAGGTTTTACATGTTTAATGTTGGCTGCATTAGATGTGTAGGTTACAGGATCACAGTTTGTCTCAGTTTTGTCATGTGAACTAAGGAACATAGGACAAGCAGTTTTAAATAGCAAAGGAACAAGGAGAGGTTAGCTCTACTCTAAACTTCAGGTGTGGGGTCTGCTTAGCGCAAGGTTATGCTTACATCTTAAGAAGCCTCAACAGCCAAAAAGTCATGTTTTTTTATTCTTCCTACTTGTTAGCGTTTCTTAACTACTGCTTGTACCTTTGTGGGTTGCAAACTGATTTAGCTCCTCTCTCGACCATCTTAAATAGTATTGCACCTACGATAGGAATACTCAATAACCTTGTTTACCTTGTGGAACAAAAAAAATGGCGAAAACTGTGCTTATGATGCAGGAGATAGGAAATCAGATCAGAATGTTCTGCTTCCTGAGGAGTGAGTAGGGCAAATGATGAGAGGGGTAACTGGTGGTTTCTGAGTGTTCTCTATAATATAATATGAAATCATAACATTTTATTGTCTGATTTCTCTGAAATTGGTCTTGCACCAAACCAGCTATGTTTTACGTACACAGAAATTTACAAAACGTATAATGCTATAAGTAAACATTACAGAACAGATATCTTCCCAAATCTACTCATTTCACACCTCTCCTACAGCAATCCACACAACAGCACCAGAACCCTGTAAATGTACTACCCCCCACAGTTACACAAAGTCCATATCATTACACAATCCACTGACTGTACTTGCCCGTAAACCATTAGTCATCTACTGTGAACTTATTAACCGATTGACTAGTAAGAGTATGTGGTAAAAGAAACCTTCATTTTGTTACGTCTACATTGAGGGACTCACTCTGAAACATGTATTTGAAGGCATGGGTTGACATTCTTTGTGCAGAACATGAGACGGTGATCAGGGATCATAATCATGTATCCGAGTCCGGTGACTCTGCCCTCTCCCCTGTAACACCTTATACTGCTGTCCTAACCTCCAGGCAGGGAGGGGGAAGTTCTGAAAGTGACCAGGAATATTAAAAGCTCATTTTCCTTGCTATGGTCCTGCCCCCAGGGTAAGGCAATCAGAAAAGCATGTGCTTTATTAATGTTGGCTAATGGATGTAAGCTTGTCGACATCTGCCCTGGAGGTGCACAGTGTAAGACAGGATATATTCAATACTAGAGGGGCTTTAAGGAAGACATGGGATCCGTGCTTGGAGAGGAGGGAAGCATCACTGGGAAATTAAAAGGCAGAAATGGCCTGAGCTGACATGCAAGTTCAGAGATTAAGTCGGGCCAGTGAACCCGTCAGGAGAAAAAATTCAAAATATATACCTCATCTGCTGATCTGCAGTTAACTTCACACAGACTTCCAGGAGAATTATTTATAAGATTACTATTTTTTTAACTCTTTGTGACATCTTAATAGAATAGATTTTAGACTGCTGTTGCACAAAGGCTCCTGATTCGATTATATGTCTGATTAGACATTTCAAAGGTGCTTGGCGATTCTTTCCCCCTTGGTGAGTCTAGCGCACTGCTGTACTGAAACCTTTGAAGCCGTATCACTGCACTGGACGCTGTCAGGACAATCTGCAGAGCTTTCTGCGCCACATTTTCAAACCACACGGCAGTCTCCAGGAACGAACAGTGGGTGCCGATTGCGAGAAATTGGTTGAGCAAATCGTCCTCGTGCGGGAGGAGAGAGACAAGGGCCAGCGCGGCAGAATCACAGATCTGAAAGACCGGCGCCTCACTTTCATCGTCACCGCAGGAACTCTCCTCAGAGAAGAACACCACAGTAATGGGGGGGGGAAGAAAATCAACTGCTGTGGTATCATCCTCACAGAAGAAAATAAACGCGCATACTGGCTCTGTGTAGCTGCGGTAAAAGGAAATTAAAGCAGTCATCCTGAAACACTGGGCACAGGCCTGTGTCTGTCCGTCACTGCAGGGAGAGGGTTACTTATTTATTTCATTTGTTGTGTTTGTTTTTAAGAAATAGGGGGGAAAAAAAACAACCTAAAGATTTGTAATCCAGAGAGCTAATTAAGAATATTTTTTCAATGAAGAAGGTGTGAATCTCTTGTGTCATGAAGCAGCAGGGTGCTGTCTGACTGCGTTCTTTGTATGAGCTTACAGTTCACACCAAGGAAATGAGACACAGTTGCAGACCTGGAGAGAAAATATTCTGAGAGCCCCCTTGGAAAAAGTAGTTGCCGAAATATGATGTAAGCAATGTGTTTTTTGTTTTCCAGAATCTGAATGAGCCACCTGTGACAAATATATTTACAAGATGTGATTCACTTAAATGTGATTAAGATCATAAGAACAGTTATCAACAGGAGGAGGCCATTCAGCCCATCAAGCCCATTTAATAATTAGCAGCTAATTGATTCAGGGACCTCTTCTAGTCTTCCTTGAAAGAAGCCACGGCATCAGCTTCAGCATCATGGTTTGTTCCATACTCCTACAACCCTTTGTGTAAAGCAATGCCTCCCGTTCCCAAATTTAAAAGCACTTCCACATAGGTCTGTTAGCAGTATGACTGTATTGACTGTAGCGTTATAATGGCACCACTGAAAAATTCAACAGGCGTGGCTTGTTGACAAGCACTGTCTGGAAGTTCTTGCCTGAATAAGACGTTTCTGTACATAAAGGAAAACATTTCAGGAGGGTTCTCTCAGAATGTAACTGCATCAGGAAGGCAGCTGTCAGAAGGACTTCAGAAATCCAGTCCTGTCCTGAGCTTTGTTAGTTAATTGACAAAAGTGGCTAGATTTTACAAAATAAAGATGTCTTACTGGTGAGAGAGATGTCTGTGGGAATTTTAAGGCAATCGTTCCATTCATTTTGGTAAATGTGAGGTAAAATGAAAAGAACTATTTAGCTAGATGTAAAATTGCATAATTACTTGTTTCACGTTTGGAAAGACAGAGCAAGCAATGTGAAAAATGAGCCGTGCCAGCAGCAGTGGAGGAGGGGGGGTTGCTGCCTTCCCCCTGCTTGCTTGCTGTTTGTGGGTGCAGAGACAGAGGGCCTGGTTGGAGACGCGGTGTGCTGAGAGAGCGTGAGTCAGCGTTCCTCAGCCCACGGCCCCTCAGCAGGGCTCCACTGTCACCTCCCACCTGCAGCCCCTCACACACCTGCTGCTAACCCGGTCACATGGCCCGCGGACACCCGGCTCTTCCTCCCGCAGCTCGGGAACACGCTGCTTCGGAGGATTAGGCCGGCTGAGCGCTTCTCAGACCGCGCGCCTCGTCGGGAGACGCACCTGTCGACCCACTGCCACAGGGGCGTCTTCCAGAGCTGCTTGCTGTGGAGCAGGCAGTACTCTGTGCTTCCTATAAGCCGGCGCACACGCTGAGCGAGGGGCGTCGCTCTGGAGATCATTCCCTGAAATATAGTTTTGGGAATTGTCCTTGCTGTGTTCCAAGAAAAGTTTAACACCACCTGCAGTGCAGTGATGTGTTTCACCGGCCCTCTGTACTCAGGCCTGTGATGGTTTGGTAAATACCAAGTCCCACGTTCCTGTCTGATGTGTTTGTTTGGACGTGTACATATATGGGCACCCTGCTTGTGCATTGCTCCTACTCCAAACGAGCAAAGCTAAACACCTGCCAACAGTGGGAGTTATTGTCTGAATATAAATCCTCCCATATGAACAAGAACGTGTTCAAGAATAGGGGAGACAATGAAGATACTCCTAGTCTTAACATGGAATGACAAAATCAATTAAACATACAGATCTCCTCTTTGGTCTGTTTTGGCCCTGGAGTTAAGGGAACCTTCAGATTGCACTGAAGTTGTGAAGGAAGGAAAGGGGGCTCTGTGCTTTGACACTGAAGGCCTTCCCTGCAGAAGGCTAGACAGCCCTGCTCAGCCCCCATTCCAGACCGCCCTAGCTTGCGGTCCTGCTGTTCATTGTGAGATCCCACTTCCGCGCACAAAGGGGAAAGAGCCTGCGGTTCAGAGCTGGGCTCTGCCGCTGTTTCCTTGATACCTCCCAATAAACTCAACCAGCCAGATTCTCTGTGCGGTCAGCACGATGCTATGGCAACAAGCACCAGGCACTGGCTAGCACTCTCACACTCCGCAGGTATTTTTTTTTATTGATTGACCGCAGAGGAGCACAGCGGGAGAGAAAGACCCCCTTCACACTCCTCATCCCCTACCGCCGAGCGGTAATTTAACTGCCGACACACACACACATACACATACCAAAAAAAAAGCCTTGGGACATCACAGATCTTTAAGGGATAAACAGATCAATTTCTTCAGCTCATTGCTCATCATTTTACCAGTGCATCCTCTAAGAGGGTCGGTGAGTGCCTTTTTTCAGCTCGCCGCCGTTCCCTCATACAGACACCTGGACACCTGGCATCAGGAGATGAACGTATTTCAGGATTCAAAATGGAATCAAGTGGCGTGCTGTCACAACAGTGCTTGCATGCAAGCACGCAAACAGGGCCCAGGATTCTTTGAGAGGGCAGCGGTGGCATCAGCCTCCAGGCTTGCAAAAGTAAATAAAAACAGAAAGAATCAACGCCTGTGAATCAATTTGTGCGACAGCTTTAATGAAGTGGGTTGTCATCAAACACCGTGCAGATTGCAGAGCAGGACAGAGTAAGCGTGTTTCTGAATACTGGAAGGTGGTAGGAGAGTTTGCTACGGGGGAGGTCAGGGCTGAATATCATTAATAAAATGAATCATCAATTTCTTACGCAGCAGCCGAAAAGTCTTAATTTTGCAAGAATGCGACAATCTGCACCTTCTCAGTAATGAGCGATTATTAATATATTGAGTGGCGGTAGAATATGTGTTAATGATAGGAGTCATTTCACTAAAAGCCATTGCATGCTTTGAAATAGGAGCTGTAAGTGCAGAATAACTGAATTATAATAGTCTGTTGTAAGGGAGTAAACTACAAAGTGATCGACGTTGTCGATTTATACTCGGGCATAATAGTCACCCCTAATTTTGTCATAATCGTTTCCTACTTCACCTGCTAGACTGCTGCATGTATCACACCAGCTACCCCTCAGGTAGCTCAGTGCTGGAATTCAGGCTGCTGGAATTAATTCTCATCTGGACTGTCCCGCATGGCTGCACTCAGAAGAGGCAGTAAAATGTAGCCCTTACCGTCGAGAACTTTCACCTCCGCCTTTGTTCCCCCCGCCCCCCCCCGCATTGCCCCGCCAGTCTTCAAATTGGCCCCCTTGGCGCAAAGGCGATACAACCGGGACAAAACAGCAAACCACCAGACCCGGCTTCTCATCCAGGGGGTGGACACAGCCGCTCGCTTCGCCTCGGTGGAGGGGGTCTCACCTGTTGGCGAGCCGCAGCACGAAGAGCTCCAGGAAGGCGGAGTCGATGAGCAGGTTCTGGTCGTCCCGCGGCAGCTCGGAGAAGCCCGGCAGGCGGTCGGCCCAGCTGCGCGTGACCTCCATAGAGCTGGTGAGCAGGCGGTAGAACTGCTGGATATTCTGGGCATCGGTGGAGGCCGTGGGCTGGTCAGTGGCACTGAACTGAGGGGAGAAACCGAGGGCCTTGCTCACACACCGGCCAGCTCCAGGGTGACTTCCTGTCTGGCTTTCAATAACAGGAAACCCAAAAGCATGCGGCGTGACAGAATCACGTCAGTCTTTGAGGACGCTCGTCTCTGAGGTCAATACGACAGGCCTGCCTGACTCCAGTCCTCAGGGGCTTGCTGTCCAGCAGGTTTTAACAGCCTCTTCAAAAGCTCCAGTTTATTAAGAACAAAGAAATGCTTTAGCTGGCCCAATTAGGCAAATAACGAGTTTAATTAGGTAATTAAGGGCTCAGGTGGAAGGCAAACAAGAAACCTTCTGGCACTCTAGGAGTGGTGTTCTCCTGCCCTAAAAGGATTATAAACCTTTCTTATGAAGTTTCAGCACAATTTTCTTTCTGTTGTAATTGTGCAAACAAAGCAGTAAATTTAATTTGGTATGAAATTCTTCAGCAATATGACCCATTCAAAATGTTGGCAAAAGGAGGGAACGTGATTTTTTAACTTCTATAAAAACTGCTGGGTATTTGTACAAGCATATACACACATAACACTTAAACATATTTGTGTTAACCATTTGTGTTCTTTATTTTTATTACATCTATTTTTTCTGCTACTATAGCAGGGAGGCTACAGGGGGCAAATTATTTCAATTAGAGCTTTATTCAGATCAATAAAAAAGATATATTCCAAGTGAAATTTTAAAGATTGATACAGGGGGACTTCTTAGTCTTGAAAAAGTGTCAATGTTTTTCTTCATGTATGAGACAATGCCTAGACTGTCCCAAAGCAAAGACCTTCATTCAGATCAGTATGTGCTTAGAAAGGTTGAATTCTCCAGATAATTGGCTCTGTAAAGGTGTAAAATTTGTGAAGGGACAGGGGTACCCAGGACTTGAAAACCAAGCTTTGATTGGTTGAATTTAGAGCAAGTGTTTTCTAAACAGCCAATCAAGCGGCATTACATAGAAACAGAAGTCTTTGTAGGTGAACTGGAAAACTAATCTTGCATTTTAAGTATTTTAAGGGATCCCCTTCCATCTGAATTTAGACACTGGTATCTACAATTAAATTTAAGCCCATAGAATATGTGACAAGCTAAATTTTTATATGAAAATCTCTCAAACCAGCATCTTCTCAGTGTTGCATTTACATCCAAACACACACGTGTGTGTGGACACTCATATACACAGACATGCACTCACACCCGTGTACACATGCAAACACATGTGTATGTGCACACACACATACACACAGGCGCGCACATGCACACACACATGCGCAACACACACATACACACAGGTGCACAGGCATGCACTTGCATTAATGCAAACACACGTGTATGTTCACACACATACACACAGGTGTGCACATGCATGTACACAGGCATGCACTCACATATACACACACACATACACATACACATAGGTGAGCAAATGCACACACGCAAATGCACGTACACAGGAACGCACTCACTCACACACACACACACACACACGTACACCTACACCTACACAGGAATGCGCTCACATACGTGCACACACACACAATTACACAGGAATGCACTCACACACCTGCACACACACACACACATGCACCTACACAGGTGCACTGACAGCTCACCTGGCTGTAGTCAAGCTCTCTGGGTGTGGACTCTGTGAGTGCTCGCACTAAGGCATGGAGGAGGCTGAGTGGAGGGGAGGGCGGCGAGGGCTCAGACTGCAGCGGGCTCTTTGGTTTGGAGGGCAGGCGACCTCTTCTCCCTTTCAGGTTGTCGGTCCGGACCACTGCGGAGGAGAGAGGAGAGGGGAAACACGGATGAGCACCAGCTCCCACTGCACTCCAATGCAGTTAACATCCAGGGTTCCTGGCTGAGGGGTCCCTCGCTGTGACTAACTGTTGCGTGGAAAGTGCAAAAAGGCAATCAATCGGACGCATGCATATGGAACAGTTGAGTTTTCCCTCCTCCGGTTTGACGCGGAAGATCATCTAACAATCAAAAGGGGAAAACTTTGCCATTGGAATTGGCTGTTGCTGAAGGTCAGTTTTGTAAACATTACACAAGTGGTTGAATAAGCGTGGCACAGAAATGGCATGTGATATCTGACTGCGCTCACAGGTGCCCACTCGCTATCGAACCATGAGGCACAGCAGCTCCTGTAATTAGTGTGCTGGCTCGCTAACCGCTGCTATAGTCTCCTCACATTTTTCTAATCACTGCGGTTTTCACAATGACACAACCAGCCCTTCTGTCTTTGCTGTGGGTGGAATCTACTTTCCAATTGTGTCTGGTGGCCCAAGCCGATATATAAGATTTTATCCGCCTTTGGGTTTATATCGAATCTCAGTGATTAATCACAGGTTACCAACCGATATTCACAGCCTAATGTCGGACACCAAACGGATTTTGCAGTTTCTGGAAATTCCAGGTGCTGGAGGGTATTTCTTCCGTTACATATCAAACGCAGTAAGAAAAATGCGCTTGTCCTCTGATTCATTAACAATCATGAAGGGAGCCTGGTATAGAGGAGAGAGGTTGTCGTGATATAGAAGCTGATTTGCTGGGATCTTTAAGAAAATGCCCTTGTGATTCTCTCGGCTCACGACGACACTGTCGTCAGCAAGAGCAAGAACGAGCAAATGTCAACCACTGCTTCGGAAACTTCACAGTGCTTTTATTTACTATATTCTGTGTTGTAGTGTGTTATCCCAACAATGGCTGACCAGCAGGGGGCAGAACTGTGCACTTTGGGTTTTCAAACTGCAAAGCACAGAAAAACTACACAGATTCCTGCAGTTTTCTGCAGTTCCCCTTCCCCCCAAGGTTGCAATCAGGAAGAGAAATATGCAAGGGGAGAAAATAGTGTGCAAACTCAAAATTTGAGGAAATCCTTCAAAA